TTTGTCCGATACCAGATGGAGAAAAAGATTGCAGGAAGTTGTCTCATCCACTTTCCCCCATTCCTGGACCCTTCCCACCCTAACTGGAGGTCCCTCTCAACTATGAAAACATCAAAAATAAAATGAATTTCTTATTTAAAACAAATGATGAAAGGCCCAACAGTGAATTAGTGGATGGACGACCTTTCTCTCTATTTCTCCTCTCTAAAAATCTACCTCTTCGATAAAAACAAATCTTTTTTTAAGATGTAGTTTTTATTTGCAAGGCAGAGTGATGAAGGAAAAGGTGGAAGTTTTGTCTGCACTGGTTCACTCACATGCTGTGCTCCAGCTGGGAGCCCGGAACTCCACCTGAGTCCTCCGTGTGACGGGATCCCACGGTTGGGGCCATTGCCTGCTGCTCTGCCTGGTGTGCTCTCCGGGTACTGGAGTGTAAGTGGAACGCCAGGACTTGGTGCTCCGATAAGGTGGTACAAGATATCAGCATTGCCAGGGCCACACCAGAGGCCCCAGTGAGTTTTGATTTGATCTTGTTAGAATTTAAGGAATAAAAGGAGGAGGGAGGGAATTACATAATTTATTGCTGTGTCGATGCCAACTAGTTTCTAGAGTTCTGTTTGCTAACGCAAGATGAGGTAGATCTGTATCTTTAGTTATTTGGAAATTGGACTAAAAATAGCATGTTTGGTTTGTGTCCCTAAATGTTATATACATAAACATGAGGGCTGGGGGGATGCTTGGATCCTTTGAATTATGGACTGTTATGTTCTGGAGTGGTTTTATGTTTTATTTTTTTTCTTAAATCCTTTCTAGAAAAATAACTTTCCACATGTTAATTTATTCAATAAATTTACTAATTACATAGAAACAACAGAATTTGAAAGAAGTCCACATAAACAGAGGAGCTGTTTATGTTAAATATCAAATGGTTAATGTCTGTCCTGGATCAAGAACGCATGCTGCTGATCAGAGATGGACCGTAGCGGTGGGTCGCCCTCGAGGGGCACGGGCACGAGGCTTGTGAAGCCCCTCCAGGTTAGCGGGCATCGTAAGACTGAGGCGGGCTTGTTGAAATTATTCTTCCTCAGGCATTGTTAATTGCTAATGGCTCTTTAGAAAATCAAATAATGCGAAGTTTAAAAAAACCATGCATATTTATATTGCTGTAACAACAATATCACCTTTTATAGATAAATCTATAGATACAAACCGTGGCAAAGCCTAAAGGCTAAATTAAAAAATGAGATATTAAAATGCATACAAATTAGCAAGCCTTTTTCTGATTAGCAGGAAAACTTTGAGACACTTGCTAATTTCTTGGTGGGGACCACTCACAGGGGAATTGTACACGCTCCTGCTGTGCTGTCACTGGCAGGCTGGAGGGACTCTGCCCCTGATTGATAGACACCTGCTGGCAGGCTGACGTCGGGTCCAGAGGAGCGAGGACTTCGTGGGAGGTGGACTGAGGACGCTTTGTTCATAGATGACACTGGGCAGTGACACATCGTTCTGCTTAGAAATGTTCATTCTAGAACATGCCATTCTACTGCTTCTTGAAACAGTTTTGTGCTTTATCTTTTGGGGTAGTGTGATCCCTTCCCTTTGGGCTTTGTTCATGCAGAGCTGCGGAGAGGGGGTCGTTGCCTGGAGAGTGACTGTAAGGCTACAGGATGCTTCTCGGGCACATGCAGCACCCAGGGCTGCCCTGACATTCCACTGAGTGCAGGCTGGGTGTGCTTGGAGAGAGAGCAGGCTGAGAAGGAAAGCAGATTGGAGAAACTGCCTGGCCCCTGTGATGAAGGCAGTGCTGCCGACGCCACTCACCTTAGCAAGCCTGGGTTTCTCTTTTCTAGAAGGAAAGCTGTCCTCGCCCATCAAGTTCATTTTTACTACCAAGTCCGTTTACTACTAAATTAATGACGCTATACTTAGGAAATGTATTCACATGTGGTAGAAAATGTTACAGTTGTTGGTGTTGTGTGTATGCCTGCACCCATGGATGTTTCTTTTGATATGCTGCATTGATTTTTCTGTTTGTCACAGTAGAATTACATTAAGAAAAAACATGATCTGTATATGGAGGACCCCCTCCCCAGAGATGGGCTTTAGGGATGCTGGTTTCAGAACCTTCCATGGCAGTGCTGTGTGTCTTAGGGATGCTGTGGGAGAGCCAGCCTGTGGGGCATCGACGTCGTCCAGGGCTCGAGCCTAATGCTGGACACAGTTTGGGGTGTGTGGAAACAGCTGCTGGATAACTTAGTGTAAGAGGGGTTTTTGTTTTTTGTATTTTTTCAAGATTGATTTTTATTGGAAAGAAAGATGAACAGTAGGAGATACAGAGAGAAAAATCTTCCATCCTCTGGTTCACTCCCCAAGTGTAAGAGGTCTTATGTCCAGTGTCTGCCACCAACAAACCAACTGGATTCTTATGAGTTGCTATACTACTAAGAGATCATTCTCAGGGACTATTATTTAAGAGAATCTCATGTGTGCTTGATATATATGGAGGTCCAGAGGTTGTGTTTTCTTTCTGTTAAAAAAAAATAAAGATTTATTTTTATTGGGAAAGCAAATACACAGAGAGGAAGATCTTCCGTCCAGTGAGTCACTCCACAAGCAGCCACAATGGCCGGAGCTGCGCCAATCGGAAACCAGCAACCAGGCACCTCTTCTGGGTCTCCCACGCAGGCGCAGGGTCCCAAGGCTTTGGGCCGTCCTCGACTGCTTTCCCAGGCCACAGGCAGGGAGCTGGATGGGAAACAGAACAGCCAGGATTAGAACCAGTGCCCATATGGGCCTGAAAGGTTGCAGTATCTCTTCACCAATTTTATTTTCACGACTTGGGCTTGTGGCAGATGCTTTCGATGTACTGCTGGAGAAACCCAGAGCCAGTGGGGACTCTGAGGGAAGCATGTAATTCCATGTTGGAGACCTGGTTTGCATGAGCATTTTGGAACTGTTACTTATTTCTTGTGATTAAAATATGTTTATTTACTATTATCTAAGGAGCAGATTTACAGAGGAAAGGAACCATACGGTGGTTTGCTTCCCAAGTGGCAACATCAACCAGAATTGAGCCAGTCCAAAGACAGAAGCCAGAAACCTGTTCTGGGTCTCCCACATGGATTCAGGGCCCCAAAGAATTGAGCCATCCTGCACTGCTTTCGTAGACCATAGGCAGGGAGCTGGATTGGAAGTGGAACAGTCAGGACTCGAACTGGCGCCCATTTGGGGTACCTGTGCTGTATGTGGAGGATGAGCCTGTCAGCCACCACGCCGGCCCCTGTTTTGTGGTTTTATGACTTGTGTAGCTTAGTGAGAGAAGTGAGCTCAGATGGATCAGGGCTAGAAATGGGAGTGGCGCTTGTGCTCTGGTAGCAAGGGCTTTGCTAGATCCTTCACATAAATGGGCATGGTGCCTGCATGCCTGGGCTTTTTTCTTTCTTCTTCATTGGATTTTTGGGAATTGCTTGAGTTTTTCCCCTGTATCCTTTAGGGGAAAGAGGGGGGGAAACCCATATTTTAAGGTCCTTTGAAGAGGCAATACAGTAAGATTTTTGTTTGCATTGTTAAATTTCACTGGTGAGCAGAGTTAGCACTTCAGTTCAACTGTCAGCGTGTCCATCACAGTGGAGGTGCAGGTGTTTTCTTTCTGCTACTTGGGAGCAGTTGAATCTGTGACTTGCCTTCTGTGGAGGTCGGGTCCCAGGGACGGAGCCAGCTGCTGAACGTCAGGCTGAGCAGCTGGCTCCCCATCACGAAGGCGCTCGCTGCTCTGGAGAGCGGCTGCAGGGTGGGTGCATCTCAGGCCTCCAGTGACCCGGCTCGGGTTCCTGGGCTGCTGCTGCTGTGGCTGTTTCCCCAAGGGGCTCATCTTCCCGTCAGGTTTTCTTAGAGTACCTTGACTGAAGGCTCCCCACATCACCTTTCCCTCATCCCCTGCCACATGTGCTGGGAGAGGAGGGGTCGAGCTGGAGTTAGTTTGCATTACGTCCTGCAGTGCACGGAAAACTTCCTGAAAATGGCATTGTCAGGATTCATTGCTTCTGTGGGAGGAAGCTGTTACAACCTGCTCCTTTTTTCCTTCCAGAGGGAGTCTGGAAAAGTTGCAAACGAAACAACATTTCTCTGAGAAAGTTTTGGATAACAGCAATTCTGGATAACAACAGGTAAAGTGCATTTAAACTTCTCCAGTGCTGACAAGTCTCCCCTGGTCTGTGGCAGGACGTGGGGTGGGCAGGGGAAAGCCATGTTCACTCGGTGTCAGAGCTGAGTTGGGATCATGTGTGGACTTTCTCAATGACGTTTCTTCCTGGAGTCTGGATGTGGATCTAAAAATTTCAAGATTAAAAACTATCCATTAAAATGGATTTGCCTGCCAGTTGGGGTTTACATCTCACAGTTTAGTTGAGCAGACATTGCTAACATCTGCCATGAACAAGTGGAGCTACAGGGCCCGTGAGTTGTGTTATGCAGAGATGGGTATTCAAAGTCTCGGCCATTGCCAGTTTTTTTTGTAGATATGCTCTCCTTAATTCTCTTTATCTTTTTGTCACCTGGGTCTGTCCAGGATTTAAGTTTCCTTTAAAAAAAAAAAAAAGAAAGAAAAAGAAAAACTTCTCTCCAGGCATCTAGCCTAGGGGTTTCCCTTGTTCTCAGGGGGGCCTCTCAGTGTCCCGGACCTTACTGTGGTCTGTGTCCCCTGGAGTTCAGGAGGCTCATAACATAACAGCATGTGTGCAAAACCCAGAGTACTGTGCCTGGGAAACACATGTCTGTCAGTGGGCACTGCAGTTACACCTCTGAGGACCCCATGTGCCCAGACAACCCCCAACCAGCGGGCAGCACTGTGTCCCCGTGTGCCCTGTGGGGCTGGAAGGCTGATTTCAGGTCTACAAAGAGGAGTTCCTGGGGGTGTCATCAGTTAAAGGTTAAGTTGGTCATAATTTGCTGCTTTGACTTTTTTCCCCTTTCCATCAGGGCCGGGGAGCGGGATCACCATGAGTTGGAGCTTCCTGACTCGCCTGCTGGAAGAGATCCACAACCACTCCACCTTTGTCGGGAAGATCTGGCTCACCGTCCTCATCGTCTTCCGCATTGTGCTCACAGCCGTGGGAGGCGAGTCCATCTACTACGACGAGCAGAGCAAGTTCGTGTGCAACACAGAGCAGCCAGGCTGCGAGAACGTGTGCTATGACGCCTTCGCACCCCTCTCCCACGTGCGCTTCTGGGTCTTCCAGATCATTCTGGTGGCCACACCCTCAGTGATGTACCTGGGCTATGCCATTCACAAGATCGCCAAAATGGAGCATGGGGAAGCTGACAAGAAGGCCGCGCGGAGCAAGCCCTACGCCATGCGCTGGAAGCAGCACCGGGCTCTGGAGGAGACTGAAGAGGACCACGAGGAGGATCCCATGATGTATCCAGAAATGGAATTGGAGAGCGAGAAGGAAAACAAGGAACAGACCCAGCCCAAGCCCAAGCATGACGGCCGCCGCCGCATCCGGGAGGACGGGCTCATGAAGATCTACGTGCTCCAGCTGCTGGCGAGGACCGTGTTCGAGGTGGGCTTCCTGATCGGGCAGTACTTCCTGTACGGCTTCCAGGTACACCCATCTTACGTGTGCAGCCGACTTCCCTGCCCGCACAAGATAGACTGCTTCATTTCCAGGCCCACGGAGAAGACCATCTTCCTGCTGATAATGTATGGGGTCACAGGCCTCTGCCTGCTGCTCAACATCTGGGAGATGCTTCACTTAGGGTTTGGAACCATTCGAGACTCACTGAACAGTAAGAGGAGGGAACTTGAAGATCCGGGTGCTTACAATTATCCTTTCACTTGGAATACACCGTCTGCTCCTCCTGGCTATAACATCGCTGTCAAGCCAGATCAGATCCAGTACACCGAGCTGTCCAATGCGAAGATTGCCTACAAGCAAAACAAAGCCAACACTGCCCAGGAGCAGCAGTATGGCAGCCATGAGGAGCACCTCCCAGCCGGCCTAGAGACGCTGCAGAGGGAGATCAGAATGGCCCAGGAGCGCCTGGACCTGGCCATCCAGGCCTACAGTCACCAGAACAACCCCCAGGGTGCCCGCGAGAAAAGGGCCAAAGTGGGGTCCAAAGCTGGCTCCAACAAAAGCAGTGCTAGTAGCAAATCCGGGGATGGAAAGACCTCCGTATGGATTTGATCTCAGCTGTCCTAAAGCATGAGCTCTTCATGGTTCACGGGAAGCAGCGGCTCACTGACGTCGGCTTCCGCCGAGTAACCCTTGGCCTCTGCTGCTCTTCAGGGATGCCACTGCTCACGGTCCAAGCTCAGGGGACTGAAGGCATGGCTGGGGCAGCGGGGAGCGAGACGGGAGACGGCGTGCTCCTCGGCACATGTTCTCAGCGTCTGTGTCTTCCAGATCTGGAGAAAAAAAAAAAACAATATATTTAAATCAACCTCGTTGAACAGTTTTTGTATGTACGATATTATGGTCTTTTTTTTTTTTTTTTTAGTATGAGAACTTTTTTGTATTTGTACATTGAACTGCTGTAGTTACACTTTTATATTAAAGGGGGAAAATCCTTGTAAGTTATGACTGTTCAGCTAATGTTATTTGTTCAGATTCCACCCTGGGTTTACAGTTTTAAGTCAATACTACACTTAACACAAGTGCCTCTCCTGTTGCAGGGAAGGTTTCAGAGGTGGGAGACTGAGGAGGAAGGATCAGCTTTCAGTCTAAGAAGGAAGTTACGTCATGCCTGTTTTATATGAGAGATCTTTGGGACTTGTTCGTGTGGCCTGCATTGCAACCAGTCTCTGGAAACATGTGACTCCCTGCAGGATTCTTGACCTACAGAGAGCATTGGCTGCGTGTACTGCAATGGTGTGTGAGTGTCCATCCGTCCTGCACTGGCGTGGCCCTGTATGTGTGCAAATCCCACACAGGCGTGGTCCGGGCTGTCTGTGTGTGTTTCCATTCCTCCCTCCATCCGTCCTGCACAGGTGTGGCCCAGTCCAGGGCCTCCCAGAGGAGCCAGTTGGTGCTACTGTGGAGCTGCTTCTCTGAAAGTGGAGCCCAGCCTGGAGCAGCAACTCCAGGAGCAGGTTGAGTCGTGAACCTGCTCCTTTTGCCTTAAGTCTCTATCCAGAAACCTGCCCTTCACTTTGGTTTCTCAGGAAACCAGAGACAGACCTCTTTGGTGGCAGTAGAAGCCAATTCCCTGCTAGAAGCAGGAAGCCTAAATCTGAATTGCTTGTTTTTTGTCATTTCCCGTGGAACATTCCTGGTTCTTCCTGATTCTAAGGGTGCAGGCTTCTGCCCGAGTGGCCACTCCGGCTGGGAGTGCTGTCTGCCAAGAGACCCGAGGAGCCCAGTGCCTGCCGCCCGCGGGCAGGCCGCTTGTCAGCGGCAGGCGTGGGCTCTCCACCCTCACCCTGCGTGGTAGCTTATTGTCCTTTTCAGTCTAGATTGGAGAGCTTTGCTCTCTGTTTGTCTTAAAGTTTACGAGCTCCGAGTGCGAGCTGGGAGTGGGCAGGTGGAGCTAACAGGGAGCTCTCGCAGGCCGCTCTTATCTGAGTCCTGAGCTGTCATGTTTGTGTGTCTGAAGGAACTAGAATGGCACTTCTGGGTAGGTTTTTTTCGTTTTGGTTTCTCCTTTGCATTCCTGTCCCCTCCCAGAAAAAAAGACACTTAGCAGAAAACGTAGCCTTCAAACCCTTCATTTTGTTTTGTTTTTGCATCTTTAAATTTTAGCCTAGAAAAGCTCCTCATGATTTTTAAGCATCTGAAGCAAAAAAGCAAAACCTAAGGGCCTCAGGTGAGACTAAAAGTAAATACTAGAAAATGCTGTGCACATGTGTACCATGAATAATTACTAGACGTGCAGTTCCTTCAAGCCTAATGTTTAGTAAGGAAATAGACAAGATTTCAAGCATTTAAGCTAGCTAAAGTACAGAACTTTTTTTTCTTTTTTGAGAAATGGGTATGGAGAGGAAGAAATTAGGGACATAGAGCTCCCGTCTGCTGGGCCAGGCTGAGGCCAGGAGCTGGGAATTGCATGCAGCTCTCCCTGGTGGGGGGCACTCACTGGAACCAGGAGCCAGGTGCTGTGGTGGTGGGACATCTTGGGACCACCCGGCCAGCACCTGCCCCGGGACCATCCATCCTTTTGTCGTAGAACTTGGAGAGAATACTTGTGACCTTCTGGTGAGAGCCTGGAGCAGAAGAGTGACTTTAGGCCAAGGCATTCGCGCCCCCTCGCCCCACGACACACTCATCCAGCTCCCCCAGAGCCACCCTGGGGCCCCGGCCTGGCCTGGGCTGACGAGGCAGCTGCCTTTGGTGTCCGCACCATCCTTCAGCCCCCCCCTTACATTCTCTAGAAGGATGGCTCTCCCTGTCTTCCCCCTCCCCCGAGAACACACTTGGGAACATCTGGGTTTATTCTCAGGTTTTGATTTGAACAAGCATCTCCCAGCTTTCACTGCCTCCCTGGTGGGTTTTTTCAGGGCTTTTGAACAAAGCTGATTTCCCCTAATGACATGTTGGGGAATTGCACCGGGAAAGTGACCCTGCTGATGTCTAGGCTAGCCTACTAGCAGGTAGAAAGACTGCTCTGAGGATAACTAGCTTGGCCCACCGGCCACAGGTTTTGTTCCTATGCAGATCACCTTGCCTTACCCTGGGCTGGGCGTGCGACCACACCTGGTGCTTATGCTTGGTCCCTGACGCACTGGGGTCAGGAAAGACCAGCAGCACAGGCTCCTTCTGTCCTGTTGGAGTCAAATGTCTCCTGTCCTTCAGGCTTCTTTGTTAAGACAGATGGTTGAGAAAAAAATCAGGAGGGTTGGGCATTGTTGGTTTTTTGTTTCTAAATTTGTGGGCAGAACTGGGAAACATCTTTTCGCCAAGGAGATGTTCTGTCTTGTGGCTTTTCTCTCCTCTGTCAGCTTGGCTTTACCTGTTTCCGTTTCTCTTCATCGAAGGCCACAGTTAGTGTATTTCCTCCCTAGGATTGTCCTTGACTGATGTCTGGAGTTGTGTGCTGCTGATGAGTTCTGCCATCAGAGTGTTTCTCCCAGTTTAGGAGTTTGTGCTTTTTCAGAGGGGGCACACATGTGCGTGTCTTAAAAGGGGGGGCATTAGCGTCTAGTGGCCCAGTTCACATTTCTTTCTGAGTGTGGTAGGCACTTCCCACTGTCAGGATGCATGCGGTTGGGTCCTGGTGGCGGTGTTTGGGAGCCGCAGGTGAGCCCCTGGACAGGGCAAGGAAATGCCTCGCTCAGGCGCTCTCAGCCAAGGCATCAAAGACCGTGGGAGACTCCAGCTCCAGCCCTGGGTCCCCCGAGTGTGGACTTGAATGCCATTCCCATTAGTCATACCTGCCATTTAGCCATTTGGCTTCAGGATGGTCGTGTTTTATGCTTTCTGTCTCATTCGAAAGACAGTCCAGTTCTAAAAATAACATCTCTAGTTGACAATAAATTTTTTGGCCAGCTAGCTTTTGGAAAAAGGCAAGTAGGTTATGCTGGAATTTGCTTTTGAAAACGGCCTTTTTTATGTATTGGAAACTGTAATTGTAAAAGTGGTGGTGGTGGGGGGGTTCGTCATAGATAGACAGCAGTTACCACTCATTTTGATTGGAAAGTTTCAGATACTAGATTATTTTTATCTTCCTAAAATCATGTAATCTCACCAAGTCAAGGCAATAGAGCCACTGTACTTACACAGTGCAGTTTGGAAATCAGGTGTCAGCTCCTGTGTGCACCAGACAAGTAGGAGTCCTCAGACATGACTGCCGAGGGTTAGAGCCACGGGCGAGCTGCGCACTGGTCACTCTTACCGAGGAGAGCGGGCAAGCTGTGGTCAGCTGTTCCCCTCCTGCAGATGCGTTATTCATAAGGATGTGAAGAGGGTTTGACTCATGTACATATTGCACATCGCCATGCTTTTAAAGGAAGCCATCCTTAGTGTCCCAGAAGGCAGCAGGGCAGGTTTCCAGGGTCACTTGTTGAACCGTGGAGGTGGGTGGCTGTGCGTCCCATCCCCCCCGCTGGGTCAGCACTGTTCTGTCAGCTGTGCTTTTGTTCTCGAACCTCTTAGCAAAGTCTCTACCTCAGGCACTAAATGTTACAATGTGGTCAGCACATTGAGACCATAAAAACTTGGCTCCGGCTTCCAAGTTTTTAAAAAAGGTAATTCCAATGTAACCAACAACCCAGTGTCATGTGCTGTGCAGCCTGGGTAATGCATGGCAGCGACGAATCACCTGTTTGGTGCCAAAGATGGCTCACTAAGTTTATTCTTCACAGTTTATGTGAAACATTCGTGGTGGAGACGGACTCTGTGCTCAGGGCCTCGTCTCTAGTGAAGTGTTGTCATTTCCAAATACAGTTTAGAAGACTCATCTGTGGTCTGTGCCTCCTTTCCCAATACGCAAAACCCACTGAAAACAGGGCTGCCAGGAAACGTCCAGGGAATTTACTCCATTCTTTGTGTTAAGCCGTACCCGAGAGCTTAGTGGTGCACACAGGAATCCTGATACAGAAACCACATCCATTCACCTGCAAGCTGATGCTGGTGGGAAGGTGAGCACAGCCACTTCCCACCAGAGCTTTGGCATGGAAGGCCTCCTTCCAGGCTGCGGCCACTCAGAAGGACAATGTCTTTGTCGTGCCACCGTCCGGGAAGCAAAAGAGGACAGACCTGGGGTTTTGCACTCAGACTGGCAGCAGCCCCGTATCACCAGCTCCCTCTGGCTCTCCAGGCTTAGGCATGGTGTCTTTGAGGGGGAACCCCCTTCTCCCTGACACCCTCTCTGGTGCGGACGTGGTGGTTACAGCGCTGAGTCCGCCTCCGAGGGTCGAAGGGGTGCAGGAAGGCGAGCAGTGATGGGCCCCTGCCCTCTGTGACCACGACAGGACGGCTAGCTGGCTGGCCACTCGCACACAGGCTCTCCCTCAGCAGCAGGGACTGAGGACTGGTCAGCAGCCATATTTGGTCATAAGTTTGAGCCCTCTGAGCGGCCGGAGCCGTGAGGCTCAGCCTCTGCTGCTGTGGGAGCTGGCGTTGGGGCCCGTTCTCCAAGAGAACAGGCGCTGACACCTGGGAAGGGACTGACGTGCCAGTCCAGTGGGTCTCCTTGGTGGCTAGGGGAGGATTGTTTTCCAGGTTTTTAAGGACTTGGCCCTTGCAGTAGAGGACTTCTGGAGCCCCTTGCCAGGGCTGTCTCATGTTGAAAACAGTTACGCCAAGAACTGTGGAGGCAGGGTTGAGGACAGAAGCTGTGTTGGAGCTGACCACGGCTGGAAGCAGCTGTCTGGGGG